TCATAAAAATACCCTAAAAATTTAAAAAGAACAACCAAAAATAGAAACAACCACTTTAAAAAAATACATTTTTTGAGGATGATTCATTACCCTCAATTTAAGCAAACAGGTGTACAGATGATTTTAATCATTAAATAGGATTGCTCTGTAAATCAACTGCACCTGCATAATTACGTCTCTTTTATAAACATTTTTGATGAGTACTATACTAGAAACAGATAGAGTTTTTAAGTAAGATAAATATATTCTTGAATTAAAGACAAACGCTTTTGTGCCTTCTATGCCTACAACTGGGAGCTCTGGTGGCACAGTGCCTAAGGCACTGCTAACCAGAAGGTTGCTGGTTCACACCCACCAGCCACTCCTCAGAAGGAAGATTATGCAATCTACTTCTGTAGTGATACTGCCTCAGAAACCCAAGGAGGGGTCGCTATGAGTTGGAGATGACTCAATGGCACACAACAACAACATGCCTACAACTTAGGACAGAAATAGCTGATCTATCTGTGGACTCCTCATCACCACACTCAATGTACCAACACACTCAACCAGTGTCCTTACCTTTTGCTTATAGAGTTTATTTGACCAGTAAAAGGAAATTTATTAGGACACTACTGCAAGTTTGGCTATCAAGTGATAAAAGCTATCTTTAAAAAAAGTAAGTTTTTTTTAAGTGACTAGATCATTTAGCTACATGACTGCTGTACCTCAAAGATGAACTATAACTACATGTATTCCAATAAGGATACCATTGTTAAAACTTCATTGGACTCACCTTCCAAATTTCCTTCATAGCCAATTTTATCACATTCACACACAAGCACTAGCACCACTTTCCTTACTGCTTTTTAGTCATATTGTATTTTTAACCAAAAACATTACAGAGCCTGATCATCTGCTTTATATATCAAACTTGATTAATTTCTGCTAGCATTGAGAACACCCAAATGAATAGACTATACATCTGAAAGCAATTGCAAAAGAGAGGTGGGGAAAATGCTTTGAGCAACTGTTAGCATCATTTGAGCAAGTGTAAAATTTCTCATCAAATGAATTTTTGAGGGGAACGATCCATAATTATGTTATCCTAAGAAACAAAAAACATATCTTCTATCTTACAGATTTAAGGTATACCCTTTGTTTAATAAAATAGGATAGCAAGTGTATTCTGTAGCAATGATAAAATATGTAAATCACAGACAAACTGAAATATCACCCCTTTGAAAAAAGTTACACCTGACTTCCTGCAATACTAGAAACCAGGATGCCAGAACTCGTATGATCAGAGTGCCCTCTTAGAGAAAGCAATAGTTCCTCTATCATCACTACCTCAGAAAGTTCCCTTTTCTTTTTTTGAAATCCAGTGGGGTTCCTGAGTTGTACAAACAGTAAGTACTCAACTATTAGCTGCAAGGTTGGAGGTTCAGACTCACTCAGAGGCCCCTTGGAAGACAGGCCTGGTGATCTATTTCTGAAAGGTCACAGCCACTGAAATTCAATGGAGCAGTTTTACTGTGCACATGAGGTTGCCATGAGTTGCAACTGACTCTTGGAAGGAAGATGGGGCAATCTACTTCCATAGTGATACTGCCTCAGAAACCCAAGAAGGGGTCGCTGAGTTGGGTCTGACTCCACAGCACATAACAACAGCAGCAGCAATTAACAACAAAGAAATGGTGTTAGGTTTAAATTCTGATAGGAAGAAAACTCACAAGAAATGACTGCTTGCCCTTTTTTAATATGGAAATAAGGGGTTTTGTCCATCTGTGGTCATCCATGCCACCCACTGCCAACCTGGACTGAACAAGACTTAAACGTGTCCTTGCCATAATACTCTTCTTCCTTCACCCTTGCAAAAACGGTGTGGCGGTGGCATCTGACCTGCTCTAATTTCACAAGAGGAAGGAAGGATCAAGGTCAATAGCCCAAGGCTGATTCCTATCAAACAGAGGTCAGACAGACACAATGCTACCCTCCAACCTCTTTACCAATTCTGACACCAATCCTCCCTCCCAACAGCCTCTCTATTTCTCTGCTTTGTTCGATAATTCATTGCAAAGGTCACACAGAACTCACAGACAATACTCACGATTATGGGGTTTATTAGGGAAGTAACAGGTTATAATTCAAGATTAGAAAAACTCAGGATACAATTCTTCAATTAGGACAGCTTCTTCTCAGCTGTGCCATACATAGGCATGCTTCTCTCTGGCTTCAGCCTCTCGACGCTGTGGCCCCTCAGCCCTGCTCTGCTGATAAGTGTCCAGAGAGGCACTTCACTCTTACCCGAAGGCACTCAGCTTTCTCATCCTGTGGACAGGGAAGCCCACCACTCTGCCTCATGCCAGTCTCTTGGTTCTATTGTCTCTGCTGCCTCTGCTTCTCTGCCACCATCTCTTGCTGTCTCAATAAAGTGTTACAGCTGTCTCCTGGATTGAAGAGGTTCAGCACAGGGATCTCGGGTCCAAAGGATATACTCTACTGCTGGCTCTTCTTTCTTGATGGTAGTGAGATTCCCCCTTTCCACCCCTGAGGTGGCTCATTTTAAGTCTACTGATGCAAAACTGACCTCATGTTAGAGTTCTATACACCAGTTGCACAGTATTTGTATAGTCCCACCCTGACAAGGGCCTCATGTATTTTGTTTACATCATTTGCAAGCTATCTGATCCCCCTGGTTGGCCACAAGCACCTCACATTTGCATAGTTCCACCCAGTCATCTGGGGGGAGTTATAAAGACCACAGCTAGAAGAGACATATTAAGAAATTCACTGCACTGTAGCCCTGGAAAATCAGTGTTGATACAGCATTCTGCTCTTCCACACCACAGCACAAGGCTGCCACCTACTGAATCATTTAATCCATTCAGGCAATACCAGGGAGAGCTAGAATCAGATGTCTTCTGTAGCTCTGACAAAGGAGCTTCAAGCAAGCAATATATTTCTGTCTGGACACACAAGGGTTAATTCTGTTTGAGAAATGTATAGATGATTACCAAAATAAGGACACCTACCTAAGGCATCTGACTGCTAACCAGAAAGCTGGGGGTTCAAACTCACCAGCCACTCCTCGGAAGGAAGGTTGGACAATCTAGTTCCGTAGTAATACCACCTCGGAAACCCAAGGAGAAGTCACTATGAGTCAGATCCGACTCCACAGCAGTGGGTACATAAGCGTTTGTTGCTAGCCACTTGGGTAAGCAAAATTGGTTTGAAAAGCACTACGAACATGGGATTTCATGTATGGCTATTTTTTAATTTCATTTCCTGCTTTATCACAAAGATACACATATATATATATATATATATATATATATATATATATATACATACACACACACACACACATATATTTGTTGTTATTGTTGTTATGTGCCGTCGAGTCGTACCCGACTCACAGTGACTCCTCCTTGGGTTCCCGAGGCAGTATCTCTACTGAAGTAGATTGCCCAGTCTTCCTTCTGAGGAGTGCTGGTGCGTTTGAACCTCCAGCCTTCTGGTTAGCAGTCAAATAAATGCCTTAGGCACTATGCCACCAGAGCTCCTATATGTATATATACTCCTGATTTATCAACATGGTTAGGTTCCAAAGAGCAGGTCATTATGCAAAATTCAGCATTATGTGAGGTGGAGGAGAATGCAGAGGTGCCCCAAAGCCCATACCTTCAGAACTGCTGTGCCCCCAGCATCACTGTGCTCTGGGCCCCAAGGCCCTGCTTGGGGATGGTGCTCAAGCAGCCCTAAGGTCCAGCAGCTAGACTGAGACACGGCAGCTTTGGGGCTTGGGTAATGGGCAAACAGTGGGGCCAGGGGTTAAGACAGTCATTGGAGGCTGCTGCCTCTATCCATGCTCCCCACAGCCAACCCCGCACAGCCCCAGCTGCCTGCTGTCACCCACATGCCAGGGAGGACCCCACAGAAACAAGCAATGTGTTTGTTTGGTCTTGGAGGGTTTGGAATCCAAGGCCAAGAGCCTGGAGATTAACAGCTGCTCAGAAGAGTAGTTCAGCAGCCCCAGCCGAGGAGGAGGAGGAAGAGGAGGGGGTGGTCTGCTTCTGCTGTAGCCCCCAGGCCTCAAATTACCCCCAGTACCCTTCCCACTTCAGGACTTGGCCCCTCCAGGGTACTTGAGCAGAAGGGGCAGCAGTAGCAACACCCCCGTCCCCTCCTAGGCTCCTACAGCCACTCACAGGCCCTTTCCAAGAGGCCACTCCACCTCAGTTGCCTCTTTCACACAAAGAGGTGCAATCGTGGCTCTGGCGGTGAGGATGGGACTGTCAAGAGGCATTCTAGAAGGCTGGCTGCTTCAGCTACAAGCCAGACAGATGGGTGGCTCTGCAGCCAGGAGCTGGACACAGGGAGAAAATCCAGGTTGATGCATAAAATAGTTGGATTTTTTTTACTATTATCATAAATGCAAAATATTGGATGAGATAGCCAATAAGTGAGGAATAGGTGTGTGTGTGTGTGTGTGTGTGTGTATCTATGTAGGTCCCTGGGGGGGTACAAATAGTTGGCACTCAACTGCTAATCTAACGGTTGGTAGTTAAAGGCACTCTATGGTGCCATGGAAGAAAGGCCTGGTGATCTGCTTCCATAAAGAGTACCATCAAAACCCAGGAGCAATTCTACTCTGTAACACATGGTGTTATATATATATACATATACACATGTATATATATACATACACATATATACACAGAGAGAGAGAGAGAACTAGAAGATAGATGATAGGAAAATCTACTGGAAACAAAATTTAATTTCCTAACTTTCCTTGGGAGAGTCTGTTCTTAAGTGTGTATAACTGCTCAACTGTTAAAATCAAAAAGACTCAAAATCATTTAACTTAGAATCTGTTCTATGTTTCTCCTTCCCACCCTTCTCATACCACATTTAATTATGATCATTTACCTTTAGAACAAACAGCCAATCTACCATTAATTAGAACTCACTTCAATGAGTCTCCTTTTGCTACCACCTATGTAGTAAAAGATACAAACCATCCATTGGTCATGAGAAAATGCGAAGGATAAATAGCCTTTACTGGGACCACTCATTTCCACCATCACCGACTGGTCATCTCTGGTGAAGGACAAGAAGATGCAGGCACGTTCTTTCTCTGGGTCACAGTTCAAAGGACTTGTGATACAGAACTTCTTGTTCCCACAGTCTGAAGCACTGAACTAGAAAAATGATGGGGGGAAAAACTTAATTATAGCAAGCAGTTCACTGCCAATGACAGACGAGCTCCTACCTTAAAGTATGGGTTTTAACAAGACTACTTTTTCAAAATAAGGATTCAAATGAAGGAAGAATAGGCAACCCAAATTAGAAATGATCAGAGCAATACTTGGGCTGTGAACTTTTAACCTTAATTAATTTTAATTAAAATTTGGAAAGCACAACACTAGTTTGACTGCAATTATACAAGAGTATTAATGTCTCCTTTAATACATAAAGTATTTCACAATAATTATGTTTTGAAACAAAGTTTCTGGTAAATTTTTAAAACCTTGTTAGGGACAATACCCACTGACATTCTTGCATAAAAGGGTACCCTGTGGTTTTCAAAGATGGAATATTAAATACCAAATAAGCGAGCAAATCCTTAGCAAATTTTTATATACTATTTAGATTCTGAACTCTTGCTTCTAAAATTCAATTCAAATTTGATACTAAAATAATATAAGAAAAAATGGATACCCCAAAATATACTAATTTTAAATAATAAAAACTTATAGTAATAAGTAATGATCTATAATGATTTAATTCAGAGCTTCTGGGTATGGCAAACAGGAAGAGTCAATTAAAGCAACTGAGCAGTGACCTAGTTAGAATGGACTGTGACAGTACATTTCAGAAGAGAACTAAACATTCATCTTTATTTAATTAGATTTAATGGGAATTTAAAGAGAAAATCATAGTTGGGTGGGAAGAACAAGCCAAGAGGAATTAGGAAACTTGGTTTTGAGCTCTGCTGTCTCCTTTACTCTGTCACATTTGTCAAAGGACTTACTCTCTCAGGGTTCCTTTACTTTCAACTATACAACAGGAGAATGGAACAAAATAGACCCTGAGGTCTCTTCTGCCTTTAAAAATGCTATGATCCTATAACTGTGAATGTACTATCCTATAATTAGGAATTATAAACTAGCAGCTGAGACATCATACAAACTCTAGTAAGAGCTAATGTCTTTCATGTGAATATATGGAAAAACAAAATTAGTATCAACAGATTACTACTAGGAAACTCAGATCCAATTTGAATGTTTATTCCTCTAAAGCATCTTTTCAAATAAATAAGCATTAATACTAAGGTGAGAATTAGTTAAAATAATAATAATAATAATAATCTAATTGTGTGGTCAAAAATGCAACATTCATAGTAATGTAATCAAGTAGAAAGGCATCAATAAGAAAATGATGTTGTTGTTGTTATGTGCCGTTGAGTTGGCCTTGACTTATAGTGACCCCTCCTTGGGTTTCCAAGGCAATATCACTACAGTAGTAGATTGCCCAAACTTCCTTCCGAGGAGCGGCTGGTGGGTTTGAACCACCAGCCTTCTGGTTAGCAGTCAAGTGCCTTAGGCACTACGCTACCAGAGCTCCTTAACAAAATATAGGAGAAGGGAAATGAAGACATTAAACAGGGACATAAGTGTCTTACTTAATCTTTTCTCTATGTGAACAGAGGAGTAGAAAAGGAAAAGAAACAGAAGGGAAGAAAAAAGAAACTAATATTTACTCAGTATCTATTAAGTGCAAGGCACATTATTAGAAAGCTTATATTCATTATTTTGTTTCATTCTCACAGTAATACATAAGAGCTACATGTTATAATTTCTCATTTTATTAGTGAAAAAACTGAGATGTTCAAAATTTAAGTAGCTTGTCCAAAGACACAAAGAAAGTAGACAAGTCAGGATTCAGGTCCAAGTTCTTTCTTTATACTGTAATAATTTGCTTCAAGATATTTTTCACTATATCCACTTTTAAAATAAGAAGGCAAATTTTCTAGAATTATCTTCAATAAAACCTTTGTTCCTAATGTTTCTACTATGCATTATTCTTTCAAAGATATATTTATTCCATATTAATTATTTTGAATTGAAGGCCTAAATGGAATTCTAGTTGATCAGCTTGCAAGAGATTTTCTATGGTTTGGTACATAGAATTCTCCAGTACTCACTGGTCTTAATGAAATAACATCTAACCATCTCAAGATTCTTCTCCAAATCTTGTCTAAATTCAGCTTAACTTCCCTCATCATGCTGAATATTTGGTTTGTTTTTTTAAAAAATAAAAAATAAAAAAACTTTGTTACATCAGACTTATTTTCAAGTGAAAATATATCCACTGCCAGGATAGACGCCATGTGAATATCATAACCACAACCTGAACATGTCAGATCTTGCATTTCCTTTATTCTAACCTTAAAGTCATAATATTACAATGAAGATTTCTAGTTTTCCTATAGAGAATCCAAAAACTTGCTACCACAAGCCAGTAGGGCTGTTTCTCTGAGCACTTCCCACAAGCATACAACCACAATTTCCAAGGAAGCTTTTATCTCAGATTGCATTTGATGAAACCATGAAAAGGTTACTTACTGATTTGGTTAAATGGGAGACTGGGGGCAACGTTGACAAAGGTGCTGGTGTAGCTTCATGTGTTGTAAAGGGAAGTACATTTGGTTGTGAAATTACAGGACCAGGAATCTTCACCCAGTAGATTTTATACTTCTCAACAACTGTGACTCTGAAATACGGTATCAATGAAATTAGATAGAACTCTGATTTTGACCTATCATAGTCAAATAAAAACTTATAAAGAAAAAAAATTGGAATAAACTAGAGACATGCAACTTATTGGTATGTAATAATACTACAGAGGAGCCCTGGTGGCACAGTGGTTAAGAGTTCAGCTTCTAACCATAAGGTCAGTGGTTTGAACCAACCACCTGCTTTGTGAGAGAAAGATGTGCAGTCTGCTTGTGTAAAAAATTATACTTTTAGAAACCCTATGGGCAGTTCTACTGTGTTCTATAGGGTTGCTATGAGTCGGCATCAGCTTGATACCAATGGGTTTGGTTTTTTTGTTTTATTAATAGTAATAATAGTCACTTATTGGCTGACTATCTTGTTATCAGACATTTCACATACACAACAATAATGAAAAATCTACTACCCAACTATTTTACACATTAACAGTGTATATCTGGCAGTAACAAATGTTGAGATGCAAGGTAAGAGTAATGCTGGCTGTGATGGTTAAGGATATATGTCAGCTTGACAGGATCATGAGTCTCTATGGTTTGCAACTATGTAATGATGTAATTTGGCAGTTCTGTAATGATACAGTTATCCTCCATTTTCACATAAAATCAATTTTCACATAATGACCTAGCTTTTGGAATCTATCTATACCGATAAGTGAGGAGAGGGTGTACTACTGATTGTGGTCTGAGGCAAATCTCTAATTACTCTTTTTCCCTCATTACTAGATGAACATTTATTGAGCATTTCTCTCTTTTTCTATTCTCTCCTCTCTCCACCCTCCACTTGTTCTGATCCTATCACTTTCTTCTGTTACTATTCTGTTCCTTGGGCATATTCACGCCATGAACACCAGACCTAGGAGCAAACTTGCACAGATTTCTATTTCTTGACATATAAAGAACATGTTGTTGTTGTTGTTGTTATGTGCCGTCGAGTCGGCCCCGACTCATAGCGACCCCTCCTTGGGTTTCCGAGGCAGTATCACTACGGAAGTAGGATTGCCCAACCTTCCTTCCGAGGAGTGGCTGATGGGTTTGAACCACCAGCCTTCTGGTCAGCAGTCAAGTGCTTTAGCCACTATGCTACCAGAGCTCATAGTACTACTAATTTCACAGTAAACAATTCAAATTATGCCAAATGGCTTGTCTGGCATGTAGCTACATCAAGAACCTATATAGAAGCTACTACAGTCACATCCACCAGCCACTCCTCAGAAGGAAGGTTGGGCAATCTACTTCTGTAGTGATACTGCCTCGGCAACCCAAGGAGGGGTCGCCATGAGTCAGGTCTGACTCGATGGCACATAGCAACAATAATAACAACAGTCACATCTCCTTTTCACATTCCATGTAACATACAGATGCACAGCTGTGTTACTGTCTGCCGGGGACCCATGCACAAAGTCAGGCAGAATAATTATTTGGCTTTATGATACCCCATTTCTCCTTGTAGGTAGGATTAAGGAGGAATTACTATTTTAATCAAAGACTGTAGCCTTCATTTCAGTATGGATTATACCTCAACATAAAGAAAACAAAATCCTCACAACTGGACCAATAAGCAACAGTATGATAAACAGAGAAAAGATTAAAGTTGTCAAAGATTTCATTTTACTTGGATCCACAATCAAAGTCCATGAAGTAGCAGTCAAGAAATCAAACAATGTATTGCATTGGGCAAATCTGCTGCAAAAGATCTCTTTAAAGTGTTAAAGAGCAAAGATGTCACTTTTAAGACTGAGGTGTGCCTGACCCAAGCCATGGTATTTTTAATAGCTTCATATGCATGTGAGAACCAGACAATGAATAAGGAAGACCAAAGAATTGATGTATTTGAACTATGGTGTTGGTGAAAAATATTGAATATAGCAAGGACTGCCAGAGGAACAAATAAATTTGTCTTGGAAAAAATGTGGCCAGAATATTCCTTAGAAATATGTGAGACTCCATCTCTCATAGTTTGGTCATGTTATCAGGAGGGACCAGTCCCTAGAGAAGGATATGATATTTGGTAAAATAAGGGGTCAGCAAAAAAAAAAAAAAGATGATCCTCAATGAGATGGATTGACACATTGGCTGCAACTCAAACATGGCAATGACTATGAGGATGTTGCAGGACTGGGCAGTGTTTTGTTCTGTTGCACATGGGGTTGCTATGAGTTGGAACCAACTGGACAGCACTCGCAACAACAACTATTTTAAATACACTGAGTTTCAAAATTTTGAGGAACATGACAGGTCTTACTTTTCTAACATTCTAATCTGCAAGTTATAACACTGCAAATATTTTATCCAAATTTCAGTTTATTCATATTCTTATACTAATACAGAAACAAATCTTTAAAAAAAAAAGTATTAGTCTATATTATTAATTAATGGTTCTTATTAGTGTGATATCATTGCAATACTTCATGCATTCATGTAACAAATATCTGCTCAGGTCTTCTGCTAAGTGCTGAGTATATACTGATGGAAAACAAACAAGCAAGCAACCACTTAGAGCAGTTGTTGTTGTTACTGGCTACTGTTGAGTTGGCCCCCAACTCATTGTGATTCTGCACATTAAAGTGGGCTATTACTACATCAAATCTCTTTTATCTGTGTGAATATCCAAAGGTAAGAAAAGGATACAGACTATTATTGTTTCAATTAACTAGCCAGAGTTGTAAACCCCTCTACTCACAGAAACTGTATGTGATTTGGGGCACTACTTGGCGCATTCCAGTAGACTTCTATATCAGTTTTTTTGGATGGATTTCTGTGACTCACAGCTGACCCCTAAAAAAAAAGTGAAAAAGAATTGCCATTCAGTCACACAATTTCAACGTGGCTGGAACTGCTATCATTTTGAAAACTATTTTATCATTGTATGACCTTAGCATTCTAGTGCAAATTATTTTATTTAGAACAAGGGCTTGGGTATTCAATAAATACATGTTTACAACAGATTAGCAGCAAGCTTTGTCAAAAAATTAGAGTCAGCAGAAATTAAGAACTAATGAAAATAATGAGCATTGAGAGTACTGATACTATACAGAGGCTGCTCATTATTTCATTTCTACTACAAATTTGTATTCCTTCCATGAACTGATGCAAATGAAGTGAAATTTCTTGCCTCCAAATATGTTGCATTATACTGTAGTAGTCCTCTTTCCGTTGAACAGTATTTTCTCCCACTCCCTTCACCTGGCAAACTTCCACTCATTCTTTAAGGCTTACCTTGGAGATCAACTTCTCCAAGAAGCTCTCTCACAATTCACTCCAGCCTGGGTGTGGCATGACTTCCTATGATCCCCACTCTCCTGTATCCTTTTAACCTAAACTATCACTCTGTTCTACTTATGTATCTGTCCTCTCAGGCTATGGGTTCCTCGAAGAATAAGAGTAAGTCTTATTCATCACCAGATCCATAGCACCAGATCAGGACAGTTCCTGGATTAATAAATGTTTTTTAATGAATGAATGGGTGAATTACAAGTCAGACGTCTATTCTAGACTCTAGAACTCTATCATCAGTATTTGTTATTGTTGTTATCGTTAGCTAACATCAAGTTAGCCCCTGACTTATGGTGACCCCATGCATATGGAACAAAACATTTCCCAGCCACCTCCGTGATCAGTTGAAGATCAGACCATTATGATTCATAGGGTTTTCATTGGCTGATATTTACAAATTATCAATATTAGCAACTTCAAATATCAATATAAAAAGAGTTAACATGATATAAAACAACAAAGCTATAAACTCTTCAAATTACTGCCCAAACTTTAAGATGCTAATATATAAAAACATTTCAAGACTAGTAAACTTAGGGGAAGTTGGATCATTGTGAATCTATTCCAATATCTACTATACATAAGTAATGACACTGTTACAGCAATCACCTGTAGTGAAAAGGCCCAACAAAATGAACAGAAATCAATTTCGAACTAAAGGCAAACCTGCACGTCTTCACAGGTAAGAATCTGTGACAATTCACTGTCAATCAATGTGAAGGAGCCAATAAGAGCACCACTCAAATCCTCAGCATCACGAGCTTCCAAAAGAAAGCCTTTAAATGGTGGTCCTGACACAGTCACTGAGAAGCAGACAAAAAGATGGAGTAAAAGGTTTAGCAACATCCCAAAAAGGAAGCTGTTTAAAGGCATATTCAGTAAGTGACAACCATGTCAAATTAAGAAGTTATAGTTTTAACATCATTTGCGATGATGGGCTCAAGTATAGCAGGGATCGTGGAGCTGGTGCGGGATCGGGCAGTGTTTCGTTCTGCTGTGCATGGGGTCTCTATGAGTCGGAAACGACTCAACGGCACCTAACAACACAACAACAACTTTTAACACCATTGTAATTTGAGATCAAATCTATCCAAATCACCATGAACTTAGATAGAATATTCTTAAATTTAAAGTTATAAGGCTCCTACAAAATAGACCCTAATTAAAATAACTCATTTGTCTTTGACTTGTATTTTCTATGGGGATATTTTTCATTGTTATTCACTCATTCTGCATCCCTAGCATTCTTTCTATTGAAATTGAATAGGATCTTACTATCAAGTAAATTTTAAATAAATCTAATTCTTTGAAACGTTGTTGTTGTTGTTAGGTGTTGTCAAGTCAGTTTTGATTCACAGCAACCTTACATACATCAGAATAAAACACTGCCTGGTCCTGTGCCCTCCACATAATCCTTGCTATACCTGAGTCCATCAGTATAGTCACTGTGTCAATCAATCTCATTGAAGGTCTTCCTCTTTTTTGTTGACCGCCTACTTTACCAAATATGATATCCTTCTCCAGGGACTGGTCCCTTCAGACAACATGACCAAAGTACGAGATGAAGTCTGGCCATTCTCACTTCTAAGGAGCACTCTAGCTGTACTTCCTCCAAGACGGATTTGTTTGTTCTTCTAGCAGTCCAAGGCACATCCAACATTCTTCACCAGTACCACAACTTGAATGCATCAACTCTTCTTCAGTCTTCCTTATTTATTGTTCAGCTCTCATATGTATACAAGGTTATTGAAAATATCATGGCTTGGGTCAGATGTACCTTAGTCTTCAAAGTGACACCTTTGCTCTTAACACTTCAAAGAGATCTTTTGCAGCAGATATGCCCAATGCAATACATCATTTGATTTCTTGACTGCTGCTTTCATGGGTGTTGATCATGGATCCAAGTAATATGAAATCTTTAACAACCTCAATCTTTTCTCCATTTATCATTACATTTCTTATTGGTCCACTGGTGATAATTTTTGTATTCTTTATGTTGAGGGGTAATCCATACTATAGGTTAAAGTCTTTTGATCTTCATTAGTAAGTGCTCCAAATCTTCTTCACTTTCACTTTTTTCTGTTTGAATGACTGCCTCTAGCTCTATGTACAGGTTCCTCATGAGCACAATTAAGTGTTCCGGAATTTCCATTTTTACAATGTTATCCATAATTTGTTATGATTCACATAGTTGAAAGCCTTTGCAAAGTCAATAAGACAGAAGGTAAACATCCTTCTGCTATTCTTTGCTTTCAGCCAAGATCCATCTGACATCAGCAGTGATATACCTCATTCTGAATCTGACTTGAATTTCCATCAGTTCTCTGTTGATATACTGCTACAATCATTTTTAAATGTAGCAAACTATAAAGCCTTCTACCATCGAGTCAATTCCAGTGACCCTGTAGAACAGAGTAAAACTGCCCCATACTGTTTCAAAGCTGTTAATCTTTATGGAGCAGACGGCCACATATTTCTCCCATGAGTGGCTGGTGAATTTGAACTGTCATTTTTTCAGTTAGCATCAAGCACTTTAACCACTGTGCCACTAGGGCTCCTTAAATTATAATCAGTACATATAAATTTTATTAGTTTATTCTTTGTTGTTGTTACGTGCCATTGAGTCGGACCCAACTCATAGTGACCCCTCCTTGGGTTTCCAAGGCTGTATCACTACAGAAGTAGATTGCCCAACCTTCCTTCCAAGGAGTGGCTGGTGGATTTGA